ATGTATACAAAATTTAAATTAAAAAATATTTAAATATAATACTTATTCATATATATATAATTTATTATTATTTTTTATTATGTATAATAAATATTTAACATATGCATTACACATGCTAAAGTATTAATTTGATGTCATCAACCTTTATAGCTTGCTTGAAAGGTACATGTAATATTTTTAATCATCAATTCTCTTTCATTCTATATATAAATTATAATAACTCTTTTAAATATTTTAAGTAGGGATGACAATGAGTCCCATGGGGGCAGGTAATAGTAAATCCGTCCCCGTCCCACTAGATGAAAATTGACCTTATATTCACCTCATATCCATGCGGGTATCCCTGAATTTCTTGAATACCCACGGATATCCATGAATATTTATAAATTTTTTAAGAAATTAAAAAAATTATATTACAAATAATTTTTAAGTTTATATTTAATATCATTGAAACATTAAAAAAAATCAATGTTAATTTTGAACTTTTTGTTGAAATAATAATAAAAATACAAGATAATCAATAACTTAAAATACATCAATCTCACAAATAAGTGAAAGTCTCATATCACAAAGTTATAATAATTTAATCTCATAATTCCAAACGAAAGTAAACGACTTAAATTACATAAATCTTATTGGTCCAATCAAAGCTAGAAAATTAATCAAATTACTCCCAACATAATTCTATAACATGTTTAACACATGTTGGTAACTTCATCAACCTCACTTTTGTAAGAAAATAAGATGAGAGAATTTAGTTTTAGGGTTATGTGGTACAAGGATAATTAGGATATTTAAGAAATATTATTAAACGGGTACCCGCGGGTATGAATATCATCATACTCGCCCCCGTCCCGTTTATAAACAGTAAAAAATTATCCGTCCCCATTATCCACGGGTACCAAATTAGCTTATCTATTTATTATCTGTAGTGAATTTTACCACAAATATCAGCGGGTGCGAGTATTTTTTTCATCCCTAGTTTTAAGTATTATTTTGTTAAAATAATATATTCAGTTATTTTTATTAAAGGAAAGTATTTTAATAAGTTTTTCTTAATTTACCTATTTTAGTTTATTTTAAAATTTTCAAATTAAATTTATATATATATATATATTAAATATTATTAATTAAATTTTTTATAATATAAATCATTATTATAAATCTAAAATATAATTTATATAATTAAAATATTTATTTGTTAATTTTTAATTATAATATAATTTATATATTCAAAAGTTATTATTTATTATAAATTTCAGTAATATAAAATAAAATTTTTATATTATGTGATGTACAAATTAAAAATACTACCGTACCGTAGTTACTTTTTTTACCCCTTTTAAAGACTAGTTACTTACTTAAACCTTTTAAAATATACCCATGGGTGAATGTATTAAATTCAAACTTATACACTATTAATGTATTTAAATGAAACTTAAAATTTATAGTTAAATGAATTAATAAAAGAAATTATTTAAAATAAGAATATAGTTCTTTTAAGTATAAAAAAGTCTAAAATTTGTATATAAATTTTGTAGTGACTAATTTCTCAGTTAATTGGTTTAGATTTTTTTTTTACCCAACATGAATTAAACTAATTAAACTTGATGTTAATTGGTTCGAATATCGAATTTATACATTTAAAATTTGAAAACCTGAATTAAGAGTGCGCTTAGTAGCCCGAGTCCGGCGGGTTATGGAGGATTATTTAGAGACAACTTTGGTCGTTGGCTTATGGGTTTTTATGAGGATGCTGGAGTTGGGGACAATCTCAAAGCAGAGTTATTAGCTATCCTACATGGTATGAAGTTGGCATGGAGAGCTAACTTTCGCAATATACTTTGTGTTTCTGATTCGTTACTGGCAGTCAATTTGGTGTTGGGACCATTGGATGTGTTGCATAAGTATGCTCCTATCATTGCTCACATTAAGGAGTTACTGTAACAATCTTGGAGTGTTTGTGTTTGTCATTCTCTTCGAGAAGGAAACCAAAGTGCAGATTTTTTGTTGAAATTAGGGCCAAATTGCGGTGTTGACCTAATAGTTTTGGATACCATGCCTAAGGGTTTACACTCGTTTGTGACGGCGGATGCAGCTGGAACAATGTTCCGTAGGATGTAATCTTCCTTTTTTCTGTTTGTTTTCTTAACTCTGGCTTACCAAATTTTTTTTATAATTAATTTATATATTATTATTTTTTATTTAGTTAATAATTAATATATATATATATATATATCATTTTAATTATTTTTAAGACATTTTTATATTATAATACATAAATTTTTTATTCATTTTTTTAAATACTTTAAAAAAATCAAGAAGATTTATATTTTAATATATTAAATATTATTTTCACACATTATAATGCATTTAAAATTTTTAAGTAGATTAAAAAAAATCTATTAAAAAAAATATTATAAATATATTGATTTTGTTAATTTTTATAATATATTAATTTAATTAGTATAAAAAATATATTTATTTAAAAAAATAACTTTTTTTTAATTTGTTAAATATTCGATAATTCGAACTAAATCAACCTAATTAATATCAAATTAATTTAATTCTAGTTAAATAAATAAATTTATAAAATTCAAATCAATCTAAATCAATTAAATTTAAATATTTCAAATTCATCTTTTATCAAACTCAAATCCACCGACTGATGAATACCCCCTTTTTTTTGTGTACTTGGCAAATACTTTTATAATATCAATCGCTCATAAGTCATGATAGGCATATAACATTTAAACTAACTAATACAAAAAATAATAAACCAATTTGTGATAAAGTGACCAAGTTAAATTATTATCTAAATTGAAATATGTTTTTATAATAAACTAAAAATGTTTCTTATATCCATGAGTATGGACACTACAGAAAGAAAAAGTCAATATATTAACAATTCGGTGTTAGAATAACCTTTTTATATATAAAATCTTTGTGGATCTGGTTACTTTTTATATAATAAAGTCATGGTAATTGATGGGAAACTAATGTTTAGAATTATGTGTACATCTATAATAAATTGTGTTGAAATATCAAGGATTGATTTAGTTAAATTGTGTGTTGAAATATAATAGAAGGTTAATTATGTGAATGATTACTGTGTTGAATTATAATCCCCCAGAGGGCACAGCGTAGCAGTAATGATACATGCATGAGTTCTGAAAATAAAAAAATGAAACATGAATATACCCCAAGAGGACTTAAATCTTGACATTCTTTAAAGGGGGTGAGGAATGAAATGAATGCTGGATAAGGATTTGTAGCAGAAGTTGAAGAGAAGGCCCACACGCCAAAAGGCCACGCGAAAGAGGGAGAAGTGAGGTTCACACTTTTTCTGAATCACTGAATCCTCAAATTCTGATTCATAATAAAAAATAAGAATAGTGAAAATCTGGTGGTGTGGCCGCCGTGTACCAGTAGCACTTCCAAGCTCCACCACGCACGCCAACCAACAAATACAAAACCACCGTAACCGAATACTCTCACTCAGTGAGTCAGCGAGTGTGATAGGATAAGGTTGAAAGATGTACAGGGACGTGTCCAGCTGCAACACCTACAACTACGGCGACGCCATGTATTGGGACGCTCGCTACGTTCAAGAAGGTGGTTCCTTCGATTGGTACCAGCGTTACTCTGCTCTCAGGCCTTTTATTCGCAATTTCATCCCTCTCTCTTCCAGCCTCTTAATGGTTGGTTGTGGCAATGCCGGTAACTTACTCTCATCACGCTTCTACTTCTATCTTTTTCAATTTCTATGCTCTTACTCTACTTTAGGGTTTTTCTTTTTTCGATCTACTCCATCGCTCCCTTTGCTTATAACTTGCAATAATTACTATATGTAATAGTTTGTGTGTTTGTGGAGGATGAGTTTTGTTAGTTGGAGATGAAACCCGCATTGTCATTTGAATAGATTAGGGGGCTAACCTGGAGCAACCGAGATGTTCATGTAACATGTGCAGCAGCAGCAGCTTTGCATGTTGTATATGTGTTGCTGTTGTGTTACAACTTACAACAGTTATTGCTTTATGCGCTTTTTGAATTATCTATGGAAGAAAGTTACTGTCCTTGAAAAAAAAAGAAAGAAAGAAGAGATTTTACAGATCCGAGGAGTTTCAAAATAGTTTAGGCAATTAGGTTCACGACTGGAAATACTACTTTACCGTGAAAGGATTGAACTGGTGGGAAGGGATTTTACTTTCTTATTATTAAATTAATATTTTAGGCAATTGTATTGAGGCAATGGATCAAACCAACGGAGTTTTGTGGATCCATTTCCATTACCATGGTCGAGCAATGAGGACAAGGGTTGTTAGGTTCACTTTCCATTTCCATCAAACAAGAAATGGAGTGCTTATTCTCCGTTTGTTTGTATAAATATTTAAGTATGGTTGAAGCTGTCTTAATTTTGAACTGGAGGTGTGCTTTCATGATTTTAGAAACAATTTGTTGATTATGATCAATTGATGGGCTTATCTCAGTTTCTTATCATCCGCCATCTTACTTGGATGAAATTTATCTTGTACTGACTATCGAATTCATGTTTTGGAGAAACTGACAAAGAGAATAATGACATATTTTGCAGTTATGTCAGAGGATATGGTCAAAGATGGTTACGAGGACATCATGAATATTGATATTTCATCAGTTGCGATTGACATGATGAAGAGGAAATATGAGTACATCCCTCAGCTAAAATGTACCCTATCAATAACATTGTTTTGTTTATTTTGTATGATATGATACCTTTTAAACTAACTTCAAAAGCCCTAAACTCCTTATGTATGTTTCCTTCATGAATCTCGGTAGACATGCAGATGGATGTCAGGGATATGAGCTTCTTTCCAGATGAATCTTTTGACGGTGTTATTGATAAAGGTATCAGTTGCTCCGTTCAGTACAAACCTTGTCTAAATTAGTAAAACCCAGAAAATATATATGTTTCATAATTCATATACTGATGCTACTCTGGTCTCACTATTACATTTGCGCCCATACTTTGTTGATGATTGATCTAGGAACTCTCGATTCATTGATGGTATGTTGATTCACTGCTAGTTGTCATAATTTATCCATTTTTTTCTCTGCATGCTCTTATCCTCAATTTTGCTTTTATGTACTTCAGTGTGGTACCGATGCTCCAATTAGTGCTTCTCAGATGCTTGCAGAAGTGTGTAGGTTGTATAGACTTTAACGAGAAAAATTTCTTGAGATTTTCGTTTCAAAATTCTCACTAATTAGTAATTATGCCTATTTTCTTCTTTGCAGACTTCTAAAACCTGGAGGGACCTATATTTTGGTAATCTTATTTACATGGTCATAGACTAGGCTTTCTTTGTATCAGTGTGCTATAACCAATTTTGCACAGTTGGTGAATATAATTAATTACTAAATTGCCACTTGTTTCAGATTACATATGGCGATCCAACAGTAAGGATGCCTCACTTAAGCAGACCTGTGTTCAATTGGAAAATTACGTTGTACAACATCCGTAAGATCTTACCCTTTTCATCCTTAATTCTTTACTTGAACTGGAATAAAAGCCCTTTCTTCATCAACAAATGTGGATAAATTTGCCCTTTTCAACTTATTTTTGTTCTTGACATTGCATAATGTATGCCAAAAGAGGATTAGAAGATTTCTGTTGATTCTGTTCTTATCTGGATAATAAGCAAAGCTAGGTGAAAAAAAAATATTTTTAGAATGATAGAAGATCTTTATGGTTGGTATCGATGTTTGTTTTCCCAGTTACAAAACATGGTTTCCAGTACTATTATTTCTTCTACCTTATTATCATTGTCATTGTCTTTTGTTACATTAAATCTTGAATGCTCGAGAGTTGATACTATGCTTTTCTTGAAAGGTATCTCTACCAAAACTAAGATTTCATTACTCTGCTAGTGAGGAATGACATTCAACATATTACCAGTATAAGAGCAGTTTATGGGTTAATTGTATTGAACATGGAAATAATTAATGAAAATCGAGGGTATATAATAATTTAAGCAATGTTTCTTCCAATTGCAGAATATAATTTGAAAATTAAATGATTTATAAATAACACAATTAATTTGTTACATAAATTCATTTCTTATTTAGGGTTTGATGATTTTTTTGTAGAAGATTACGCTTTCATGAATTTATATAAAGAAATGATAAGAATTATAGTTGCCTATAGTTGTGGAGCTTTAATTCAGTGTTCTTCTCTTGCACACATTCCTTGAATCCTTGCAGCAAGACCAGGATTTCAAAAGCCGGAAAGTAGTAATCCATCGAGAAAATCATTCTTGGAGCCCATCCCTCTTACTGAGAAGGGCTTACTTCCTGCAGACTTGGTTCTAGAAGACCCAGATTCTCACTATATTTATGTCTGTAAAAAGATAAATGACACAGAGATAGACAATATACCTACATACCAATTAACAGCTGACGTTTTATAGCGCTGACTTACATTGAAGCACCGATGAAGGTAGTATTTATCGTCTTCACAAACTTTGATGTGCATCGTAGTCATTTAAGTGGATGCTCTTGTCATCTGTACCACCGGGACAAGTTACCACCATCAATGTCTTGTTTGTAATAGCATTTTATTCTCATAATTTAGAGTAATGAAGTTAGCTCTTAGAGATGATTGATATTATAAAAATCTATGAAGAATCGGACAAATCGACTGATTAATGTATTATTTTGCCCGTGATTTTGTCTGAATGAAAATTGTGGTTGTAATTGCATCAAGCTTGAATTCTATTATAATATGCTTCTGTCATAGCCATTCTTCTCCCATCTTCCGCTGAGGACGTGTAGGTTATCCTAGCCTAGCATTAGCTGTGAAAACGCATTACTAAACTTCCAACAGGACTTCGTGCCATGGTTTATTTATTCTAATCCTCCTTCCTTGGGTCCAGGTTTACTGATTGGACATCTGATATACTTGCATTATCGGAATTTTTAATATAAACAGTTCCCTTAGACAGGGTAACTCCTAGTGCAACAATAAGGTTCCAAGAGATGATAGATTGAAATCCTGGAAACAAGGGGGCTACAGCTGCATAGATCTATTATCCTTATTTTCTCCATTTGGTGAGAGCGTCATGCACCTTGTCACAGTTTCCTTTTGAGATTGAAGATTGTGCTAGTAGTCTGGAATGATTTTGTAAAGAATGTTACACGTAGAGAGCGACACTCGTTTCAATTCTGCCTTTCACACTGCAATCGGTGCATGGGTAGATTAAGAATATATAGGCAGTACAGTAGTATTAGATTGGGGAAACAGAACGTGGGTTCGGTGAGAGTATTTTTGTTTTGGTCCAAGACAGAAGTTCAAAATTCAAATAGTGTGAATGTTATTAGTAGACCAACAGGCCCAAAACTATAACCAAACGAGAAGGGTTAAAAATGGATCAGAATGAGAAGCCCAACCTAGCATAAGCCATTATCTTTCGTATTTTTAGAGCTTACAAGACCGAAAAGTTCAAGCTTTTGACAAAAATTTAACTGGAAAGTGGATTATTTTTTAGTAGAAACTAGCTGGAAAGTTGATTATTTAATTGACTATTTCGGTCAAAAAAGTTCGACGAAAAATATTTTCTGAAGTTTTTTGTTACATGGTTAACTAAACGTGCTGGAGTGGGTGGAAAGCTAAATCAAAATACTCTCTAGAACTAGAATCAGACCTTGAATAGACAAGAGTTCTTTTCCCGTTTCTTTTTGTTTGTTATTTCAAAACCTCGGCAATTCCCAATCAAATCGACACTATGGTCTTTCAAAACGTAAAACGCTCAAGAATTTCAAAGGGACAGCTTAAGCTTTGCTAGCTTGGGTCCCTACAAAAGTTGTGTGAATTATATGAGGACAATGCTTGTTTAGGTTGTGAGAACCCTAATCAGTGCCATGACAGATGCATTTTTGCCTTTTCTTTTGTTATCATTGACCTAAATGTGGTGCTTGTCGTGATAAGTATGCCTCTTTGATGTACGTACAAAAACAATGGAACTTATGTACAAACAATACGACACATTTTCTTTCCTTAAATCTTAATTCATTTGCCAAATCCTATTGAGTTTAAGAGATTAGTGTTTGTGATTAATTAGATTTAACATTTCAGAGAACGGGACAGGTGACAATTTAATTTCGACTCTTTATCGTTAACTAGAAAAATTTGTACAGGCTAAATTAGCTAGTATATTCAAATAATACGAGGCTCTTGTTTTTCGCAAAGAAAGTTATGTCTTTACCTCATTAATCATCTTGGTTAGGTATGTCATTATCATGGAATATTTCTTTATAAACAAAGCGATGAAAAGAACCCTCCAAAGTGCCAATTGACAGCGATATCTTCTTTTGATCATTTTAGTCCAAACAAAGACATGAACTCAATGCAGGTTCAATCCAAGTATAAACAAATAAAATACAATCCAAAGCAGGAGTATCATATCCGGCAATTTTTCGGTGGGTTATAGATGTTGGAAAAAGAAACCATCGGGTTTAAACACAAAAAAATTGTATTTGCACGATAAATTTGTTTAATTATATAGCAAAGAGAAAGATAAGAAAAGAGAGAAAAATATGAGGTAAAAAGATTGATGTGATACAAGAAAAAATAATATGGTAAAAAGTGTTATAAAATATATCTCTTTTATATAAATTTGAAAAATATGGAATTAAATATGCTTTTAGATCACTCTTCATGTTTATATGTATTCCTATATTATAAATTAAAAAAGTACAATTTAGGGAGTTAGAGAATTTAATTATAAGGACTTATTGCATAATCTAGAACTATTATGGTCCCAATGACTCTATGTGACATGAAGTCAAGTTTAACAATTTAAAAGAAAGAGTTTAATAAAATTAGGTTATATGTCACTTGGAAATTAAGTAGGACTAGGACCATGTAATAATTCATTCTCAATTACATGTTTTCATTTTTCTCTTTACTATTCTCATTGGATGGGCACTTATGTATCAGTTATGTAACTAGCAAAAACTAATTTATCATATTTTTATTTTATTTTCTTAATTATCTATCCTTTTCAAGTTTTAATGTACCCTCATTTATTTTCATCTCAAAATTGAATTTTAATAGTTTTTTTAAAACAAGTTGTCAATAATTAAAAATACAATTTATATATTTAAACATATTTTTTATTATAAATATTAATTTTAATATAATTTATATTTAAAAATATTTTATTATTATAAGTTTCAATTATATAAAAATAAATATTTATACCGTGAATGCATAGTATTAATACTATTACTTACATAAACAAGAAGGAAGCTAACATATTTGTCTGTCTTCCAAATTTTGTTAAATATCACTTTAGAAGCTTACAAAGAAAATGAATCCAAAAGAAATCACTACACCAATAATTGATACTTGCAAAATGAAAACGTACTTAAATCATCTGTTTTTTTTTAAGGGTCCCATAAATTTGCTTGAAGTATTGCATTATAACCAAATCCCAAAGTCCCCTGATTCCAATATCTGAATACACACATTTCCTCCACTAAATTTAGTTCATTGTTTTGATGGAATTTGAAAGAAGTATTTTTGTTTTGATGCAAACTTTTATGTGTAGATATGAGCTCAGTAATTCACCTGAGGCATCACAGTTGACAACCCAAATATGTCTACTTTTTTGGTGTATTTGGAACCCCTCATGGGTCTCACTTCGCATGTGCATGACTAATGACTAATGATTCTGCACTCCGAATCTTCCTTCGTCTTTCTTCTCCATCTCATTCTATTTCCTGTGTCCATAATAATAATTTACACAAATCATGTCAAGCAGTGTTATAAAAAGCTGTCTCATTGGAATGATACAATTAAAAAAGTCAAAAAATGCGCACAATTATTATCCTAATCCTTTGAAATTTTAGTTATCATTAACCACGGGAAAAAAGTTTCTCACTTTTCAATTTCTTCCTTCATGTGGATTCTTCCTTTTGTCACTTTGGTTTCCTTTTTGACATTCTCTTGCTAAAAAGAAAAAAACAATCCTTTTCTTCCCCCCAACTCAGGGGACCAAAAATAAACCCTCCAATATTAAAGGGTATTTTCATTTTTTAAAAATTTATGCAGGGAAATTTAGGTCTTGTAATTTCATTCTCCAGCTTGCTTGCGTTATTATTAATTAAAATAAAAGTTATCCCTAAAATCCACTGATGTGGCCTAACATGATTGGTGGGTGAGAAAAAAGTTCTAAACTTTGAGATTGGCCCACATCCTTATCATATCAATTTTGGGTTGCTCAATCTTACCCCGTCTTGGTTGTTGCAACTTCAAAAATCTATAACACTTATTCTCTCTTCTACAATAAGATAGTGTCATGGTGATACAAAACAGCTAGCTAGTTTTGGCTCATTATATTCCCCATATGCCCCATACCATTCTCACATTCCCTATATATTTCCCACTCTTTCTGTGACCCTCTCCACACAAAGACACAATCATGGCCATAGCAACCACTTCCATTCTTCTATCCTTTCTCATTCTTTCCCTCTTTGTGGCTGAAATCTATGCAAATAGACAAGTCAAAGCTCTTAACATACTTCACAAGTCCAAGTTCAGACGAAATTCACAAATCGATAAGAGTGATTTTGAGGTAGAGGAGTTGGTGCTTGATGGCATTGTTCATTCTCAAGAGGGTATCAAAGAAAAAGATAGAATTTTGAGGCTTCCGGGGCAACCCCAAGTGAATTTTTCTCAGTATGGAGGGTATGTCACTTTGGATAAATTTTCAGGACGTGCTTTTTACTATTACTTTGTTGAAGCTCAGCATTCTGAACAAACACTACCACTTCTTCTTTGGCTCAATGGAGGTAACTTAATGACAACAATATTAAGATCTAATTATTTCTTGTTTTATGCATCTTGTTGGTACATCGAAGTTTTATGCACTCCAACATGAAAGCTATATGCTAATTTGTTGTTTATCATTTTGAAAGGCTTTCGTCTAAGAGTTTGTCCACACGCATGCACATGTACATGTTTCTTTGCCTCCAATTCGTTCTATTTTAAGGGACACATCAGTTGCATATAAACCAAAATATGCCACAGAAAATCCTCAAGAATCTGGCCTAATATGTTTGCTAAATACATCCTATAGAGACGTTTCCGTCTATCACTCCCTTGTTCCTTCGCAATTACTACTTTCTCTGTTTTTCTTCTCATCAAATTATTCATTTTCTTGAAAGTGACATATCTATTAAGATAAATGATAATTGCTCCAAATGTGCCAGCCATGTTGGTTAATTGAACAATCTTATTATAACCACAAATAAAATATTTTGTAGAGCAATGATTCACTCACCATTCAAATAGCAGTCACACTCATTACACACTTATTATTATTATTTTTTTCTTCCTACATACTATCTCTTTATGAGTATTCTATTTAACACAAGATGTAAGCCGAACTTTATCCAATTTTGCATGTTCTTTTAGTTGAAATTTTATTATTTGGTAGTTGCTCTAAGTCCAATTAATATGAGTTAGATTAGGTGAACAGTGAACTCATTCTAAAATTCAAATTCAAAACTTTATTTAAGGAAAATTATATCTTTCTAATGAAATTCATAATTAATTGTTATACATGACTTGCACATTGTTTATAATTATTTGAATTTTTTAATGGACATTAATTTAATTAAACTGATAAATTAATGAGCCGACCAGAAATTATTGTTAATGAACAGTTCTTTATATATATATTGGGAGAGAGACATGAGCTGTCATAGTTCTTAATACACATGCTTCTTAGTTCTTACCGCTGATTATAGATTATAAACCAATGGTTTCCGGGATTACAAGTGTTCAAATCCCATAATTCAAGCATCAAGAAGATTTATGCATTTATTGCAACCGTCTTTAAAAAAATAATGAAGAACAAGCATGTGAAAGCTATTTAGCTATTTATATATAAATAAATAAACAAACCAGTGATATATTTTAATTTTTTATGCAATATAAAAATTTATTTGGCTTTACGAAAGTGTCAACTGACTAACTTCATTAGCAAGATCCTCACTTAATTGTGTCTGCGGAAGCAAATACTTATTGGTGAATATAAGTTTTGTGGTCAAATCTTGCCTTTAATTTGAAATGACCATTTTCAATTTTTAAGTGTAGTAATTCAAATTAAAATTATTGTATATATTATAGATATAGCTCGCCAGTCATAATGATGAACATACTTTATTTTATCAACTTGCGAGCCTCATGCGGTTGCATAGATGGTAGGGTAACACCATGCTTTTATGTGTACAAGCATGACTATAAGAAAAAAAGTCAATAAGAGAATAATTACATTAATTGCAAATGATTATGGATAATACATTTTCATTCAACTTTTCAGGTCCAGGATGTTCATCTCTTGCTTATGGAGCAATGCAAGAACTTGGACCTTTCCGAGTAAACAGTGACGGCAAAACACTACACAGAAATAGCTTTTCATGGAACAATGGTATACCAAAATCAAAATTCTCTTATAGAAAAAATATATATATATTTTCTTTTTACTATAACATAAAGTAATCGTTTCTAGTATATATGTCATCTCACTTGTGGCTTAATTGGATTTTGAAGTTGCCAATGTTTTATTCCTCGAGTCACCCACTGGAGTAGGATTTTCCTATTCAAACAAATCATCAGATTATAACACCAATGGAGACAAGAAAACTGCTGCGGATAATTATTTATTCTTGGTGAATTGGTTGGAGAGATTTCCAGAATATAAGGATAGAGATTTCTACATTGCTGGGGAAAGCTATGCTGGGCATTATGTGCCTCAACTTGCACATACAATTCTTTATCATAACAAAAAGGCAAATAAGAAAATCATCAACCTCAAAGGAATCTTGGTACGTGCCGTCCTCCTTTTTTTTCTTTGCAATTAGAAATATCTTAAGAAAATGTTATTGATCCTTGTGTTAAATAGCTCTACAATATAGTTAATGGGTCCTATATCTTTCTTCAATTATAGTTTTGTGGAATGGGCTTTATCTAAATTCTTATTACTTTTATGATGGAGAGAAGAAAGGTTGGGTTCACTAGCCAATTTGCGTCTGGACCAACCCACTTCTCTTTAGGTGGGTCCAAATCTAGTTAATTTGTGGATTGTGATTGGCTTATTGAATTCAAATTGTAGTCCTTGGTATATGACGATAACCTTGTTTTTTGTGATAATGGTGTGTCACCAGTGACGTGATTGTGCAAATGTAAAGGCTTTTTTTTTATTGGACTAAGGACCAGATGTGATTAGTGGTCCCCTGAGGCCCATCCCAGTATAGGTGGTGACACATGTGGATTGGAAATTGAGGGCCGAACCATTTTTCAATTCTTTTGTAAACCACAATCCTCCATGGTACGAGGAGGGTTCAAACGACACGGTGTAATTTTAATTAAGTGTTACACCGCTCAATAACTTTATATTAAATGTGAATTTTGTAAATCCAACCGTTAGATTGAAAGTTCATATATCATATATATTAAATTTTATATTAATTTAAGATGATTTGATACTTCATTCTTATAAAACAAAATTGACGTAATATATACATTTCAAAATATACTAAAATATGAACACTTTGATTACCTTCAAGTTGTTGTTCAATTTTAACAAAATTTGACATATATGATCTAAGAGATATGAACTTTCAATCTAACGGTTAGATTTTCAAAATTCACATTTAATATAAAGTTATT